TGTGGAGTTTCCTAGTCTTCAAAACCAGAGATCTATCTGGATCATTGCTAGTAAGGTTCATGGGTACAGATAGGTCCTGGCCCTGAGGGAAGCACACCAATGAAAGGCATCATGAAGAAATCCACGGGTTCTAGGCCTGGGGCCCAGGGAGAGGTTCCAGGGAATGATCCAACCCTGACATTTTACTTAAGAAATTTGTGTACAGGATATATGCATTTTTATAGGGAGAGTCTCTATCACTCTGGTAAGATTCCAAAAAGATGCTCACAGCCTAACAAAGCTTACAAAGTTTTGCTTGCGAAAAACTAATCAGATGCAAATGGCACTGTACTGAGACATTCTTTATTTAATACGAAGAGTTGTCCTGGGAGGCCTGGGTGGCCTGGGTGGCCCAGTCTGTTAAGCTTTGGCCTTCGGGCTCAGGTCATGTCCTGGGATCAAACCCCACACTGGGCTCAGAGCACCTCTGCCCCGTCCCCCCCACTTGTTCTCCCTCTCCCTCTCTCTTTCAAATAAATAAAATCTTAAAAAAAAAAAAAAAAAGAGTTGTCTTTGAGAGGGCAAAAGGCTCCTTGGTCATCAGCTGTTCTTACATCCTCGTAGAGCAAAACATACATCCTTGTTTTTGCCTGGAGAAGGTCCTATTGTTCTAGACACTTAAAAATGTATTTACCTTTCTGACTTCTAACATGTAAACTCAAATGTACAGAAGAAAGCATATCTTAAAATGTGATATCATCTGGGCGCCTGGGTGGCTCAGTGGGTTAAGCCTCTGCCTTTGGCTCAGGTCATGATCTCAGGGTCTTGGGATCGAGTCCCGCCTTGGGCTCTCTGCTCTGCAGGGAGCCTGCTTCCCCCCTTCTCTCTCTCTGCCTACTTGTGATCTCTGTCAAATAAATAAATAAAATCTTAAAAAAAAAAAAGTGATGTGCTCTGTCTTTGGTATTATATTCAGATTCTCCCCCATGGGTCTGACTTTTAATAATCTAGATATCATCTTCTCTAAATATGAATGAGTAGAATTTAAAAATTCGAAATGAGTAGAATTTAAAATTTATGAAAGAGTAGAATTTAAAGTCATTATCTTGCTCTGCAGTAAACCATCATTTTCTTCTGTTGCAAAATTAGGTGGATGTCGCCACTTCCTGTAAGGTTTGGGAGTCTGTGAACTGTCAGGAGAAATAACTACAGATTCCAATTGAATATCTGAGTAAAACATAATGAGGGAAAAGTAAACGGGTGCTCCTTTTGTGTCACAGGATTTTTACTCTCCACAAAGGAAATGCAGAAGTAAATCAAAGAGAGGTTATCGAGCTCTTTGGAACTCTCACTGCTTTCCTGACCAAAGCTCTCCCAGACGTAGCTTGGGGTCCTGGCCTTCTAGCCCTGGCAGCTAGAAGGTGGTATGGTACAGCTAGAAGCTAGAAATGGTACAAAGTGTCCAGGAAGCTGACCCAGCTCCCTGGTTAAGGGACCTCAAGTTCTACCACCTGACCCAACAAACACTTGTGTCCGGTAAAGGAAGGCCTGGCTCCCAGTGACGGCAGGAGGACAGGGGGTCATGAGGAGAAGGGCTAATGGATGAAGGGCTCCAATCAGTAAAATGATTACATTGTGAAAGGAATTCACTTTCTAAAATTGAGCTCCTTAAGGCCAGGGACTGTTACCTACATATTTTGTATCCCAAATTTCCTATTTTCCATCCTGAGTAACTTTCTGGTACTCACTAAGTGGTAAGTAAATTTTTTTAAAGGCATTTTTGCTACTCGCTTTTCTTTGACATCATTAACATCTTAGAAAAGGTTGGTCCAGCTGAAGGTGTGAACTAGGGCAGTCCAACTTAATTTCCACTAAATATGAGAACCTCTAACAGTCCTAGTTAGAAGTACTAACAGTACTTCTACATCTCTCTTGAGAGAGATACAGTAGAGATTTCTTTTGATGTTGAGAGTTGAAGGGCAAATTGAAGCCATGTCCTACAGACATTCAATAAATACAAAGGAAGATCAAGGAAGGGTAGGTTTCAATCTGCACAGTCAGTCAATTTTGCTTCTCATCAACTCAAGGAAGAAAAAAAAATCTCTGGACATTTCTGAGAGATATTAAATCTCAAAACTCAAGTCCTCTTAGAATGACTCCAATTTTCAGCACGAAGTCCTGAGGTGTTTTCATTTTTTAAAGATTTATTTACTTAAGAGAGAGAGACAGAGAGAGCACACGAGTGCCTAGTGGGAAGGGGCAGAGGGAGATAGAGTCTGAAGCAGACCCCGTGCTCAGGGTGGAGCCCAATGTGGGGCTCAATCTCATGGCCCTGAGATCACGACCTGAGCCAAAACCAAGAGTTGGACACTTAACTGACTGTGCCAGCCAGGTGCCCTGTCTTTTGTCTATTACTAATTAATTAATTAATTAATTTGACAGGCAGAGATCACAAGTAGGCAGAGAGGCAGGCAGAGAGAGAGAGAGAGAGAGAGAGAGGAAGAAGCAGGCTTCTCACTGAGCAAAGGGCCTGATGCGGGGCTTGATCCTAGGACTCTGGGATCATGACCCGAGCCAAAGGCAGAGGCTTAACCCACTGAGCCACCCAGGTGCCCCTGTCTTTTGTTTTTTAAAATCAACTCTATAAAACCTGAAAAATAGATTGAGTTCGCATTTATGGTTGCCCTCAGGCTAGCTTGGACCAAAGAAATATTTAGCAATGATGGAAAGTCAGGAAAATAATTTATAAGAACTCAATTTCCAATTTTGGTTATATAAAATACGTAAAGATTATATTAAGTCAAATGTGTATATTAAGAAGGAATACTTTAATCTTGGCGGCTCAATGGTTAAATAACACACAGAACAGCACACTCATAATATTCAGAGAGATGAACTTTAGATAAGAGGGAAGAAACAGGAAAGCCTGGTTCAGACCGGATAGAAAATTCCCCTAGAAATCTGTAACTGGGAGCATGTCACAGATTACATAACAGCTCTTCTTTGAACATAAATATATTCCATAGTGAGAATACTGTTTATGTTGAATCTATAAATGCTCCTTTGTCTAGGGAAGGTTCCATCCAACAAATGAACAAGTTATAAACTTTGCTTTTGTTGTGTTAGACACATCATACTCTACACCCTGGACGCAAAAGGAAAAACGGAAATCGGATTTCAGATGGGAACAATGAATTCCAGTTTTGAGTAAAAGTGGGTAGAATTTCAATTATGGAAACACACCAGGATGGGATTAGATCATCTTAAATGCCTTGTCAGGGTCTGTAAATTTTGTTTAAAAAGATAACTTACCATTCAGGTTTCAGTTTTTAGAGACTAACTTGAACTACTAAGATTGCCACAGAGCTAGTGGAGGAAAAAAAGTCCAAACAAACCGAGAAAGAAAAGGTCTTCACCATTACAGCGGGAACAAAATATTCTTTTTTTTTTTTTTAACCTCTCTTAATAAAACAAATGTTATTGGCAAGTTCAACAGTTTTGGAACCAATACATGAAACTTGGTAATTATTCCTAGGTGAAATTTTCAATCTAAAAAGTCATATGTAAGCTGGGATTTCACTAAAAATTAAAAAGAAAAAAGGGGTACCTGGGTGGCTCAGTGGGTTAAGCATCCGACTCTTGATTTTGGCTCAGGTCATGATCTCAGGGTCGTGAGATGGAGCCCTGGTTGGACTCTGCACTGGGTGTGGAGCCTGCTTAATATTCTCTCTCTCTCTCTCTATCCCTCTGCCCTTCCACGCCCCCTCTCTCCCTCTCTAAAAATAGAATAAAATAAATTACATGCAAAGGAGTATTTACGCATAGCCAAGTAATGCTGTAGGTTAAAGTTCCATTCTAATCCATCCTCCATCTCTACCTTTCACACTGACAGCATGTGCTGGTCCTGTAATGGTGCATGGGAAGATTACACAACTATTCTTTACGGAGGTCCACTTCAGAATGGGGTCTGCTGCTAAAATACTCAAGAATTTAAGCCCTTTATTATTTTCCATTGACGGATACATATCATAACCTAGGAATTCATGAAGGAATGCTCAGATAAAAGGGCCACAAAAAAAAAAAAATAAATAAAAATTAAAGTGGAAAAAACTCCAAAGGCAAAACTGGCCCGCGATGCCTTCATCACGGTTGTATTATGTTCTGAATTTAGGATTTTACTCTTCTTCAGAACAAGGTTTTCAAATGGAATTACTCCGATTTATAATGGTCGTATTTAAAATTCACCCCCTGCAGTGATGAATTTGAACTCCACAAGTATGGAAGTAAGCCTTTAATTCTTACCATATTCCCTACTTCATTTAGCTGATTAGCATATGGCATTCTGAGATCCTAAGTCTGGGTTCAATTTCCACACAGATCTTCCTGTCCCTGTAACCCCCCCCACCCACCCCACTCCAGGAGAAGCGGCTCCAAAGACTCTGCTTTGGGGCCAGGCAGATGTGGGCTGGAATTCCAACTTGACCACGATCAGCCTTGCAAACCTTGGTAAGTTATTCAGATATTCTGAGCCTTAGTTTCCTTGGCTGTACAAGCAAATAATACGTGTCTCAGAGCCATTTCCCCGCGGCAGGCACTGACGGCAACCCAGATGCGATGTCTGTAGAGAAGAGCGAGTGGACACTCCAGAGGCGTCGGCAGGCACTGATGACCTCCTTGCTCATGGTCTCGGGTGAGAGCAGGGTACCAGCTGCAGACAATGTGCGGTGACATCGATGTTCTGTCTCTGGGCAAAGGCTCTGACTAGTCTCTCTTTGGCCCTACACCTGTTCATTAGTGATCAACAAGCCTGGGACCTTGGATGCTCTAGCAGAGATCAAACATTCTCAGAGTCACTTTTTTTTTTTTTTTTTTGGTGTGAGGGGAGACTTTTGTTTTAGCTCTCTACCCCTCCTCTCACAAGAACAGCTTTGTGACACAGGAATCAGAACATTATTACCTGAACTCAGGAGGCAGTAGCACATGTCCCTTGAAACAAGTGTTTCATTTATTTTACTTCTTACCTTTTCAATTTTCTCATCCAGCATTCTGAAGAATTCTTGTTGGCTTTCAGAGATGTGCATGCTAAAAAAAACAAAGAGTAGTTCAGTGCGTGTTTCAATGTTGTCTCCAACCAGCTCCCTCCAGTGAAAAACGCCGAGTCCCCAAACTTTGAAGCAGATATTTACTTATTGCTGACTTTTCTACTGAAACAGTCCAAGTTCTATTGAGGATAAATGCCATTACAGTAATTCCTATAAATGTGTTTCATTAGAGTCTATCAGTTCCTACGATTTAAGGTATAAAATTTCCTTTCACCGTACACATATTATTTATAGTGATGTTACTGGGAGGTGTGTGCCAATTTTTTTCTTCAGATACACATTTGTGATTAAAAAAAAAAAAAAAAAAGCACAGCCAAGCATTACATGGCATATTTCAAGCCTGTGTATAACTGTGAAAAGCAAATATATCCAAGTTATTATGTGGAAATGTATATTTTACAGAGACTGTCATCATCAGCATGGTCTTCAGCTGATGGGCTGGGTATGGGCCGGCAGCAAATAGGCAAAGAACTTGACACTGCCCCTGAACCCTTTGTGCAGTGGTGACAGCCAATGCAGCTCTTTAGAAGTGAAATCCCACTGCACTGTGGGAGCGAGTCAGGAAGCCTATCTGAGGAGCACCTGCCCTGTGTGTTTGCTCATCTAATGCTATTTAACTGTATACCCAGTGACACTGACGTGGGTGCTGGGCACCAAACATAAGAAGGTAAAGGAGAGCAGAGAAGAATCACAGATGGGAAGGGCATGGGAGGAAAGGGCCCTGGTGGCAACATAGACTTGATGATAGTAATTTCCATGCAACAAACAAGGAGTGGTCCAAGGAGGTTCAGGACACTGGGCTAAGAGACACATCGCGCATAGTGCTTCTTCCTAGTGCTCGGTTGCTGCAGTGGCTGGGCATGGAAGCAGGGGAGGCTCTGGAATAGCTTCTTCCCTACAAGTCTACGTGTGGGCAGCCCACCTGCTAGCCCTTAGCATTCTGTCTCAGCCTTTAGGGGCTGCAGAGAATGCCCAAGGGACCCCAAACCCTTGGGGCTCGAGCGTTTTCCCCTGTGTGGAAAATCAAGATTTAATACTGGGAGCCCATGACATCAGCTCAGATATAAAAGGGAAATGATAAAGTATCTGATACCAGCAATCAGCTTTCACACACATCATATAATTTTTCCTGTCCTTTATATGATAATTCAAGTGAGGTAAAGGTCCTGTTTCAGAAACACTCCCCCCCTGGTTGCAGGTTAGAAGGGGGCCAGAAACTGTGATGATGAGAATATATTAAAACAGTCTCCTCTCCTCTCTGGCTGGGCGGAAAAGCCACTTTTGCATACCGGAGTTTTTCCAGATTCCCCAAGGTTTTACTCCTTTAAGTGCCAAAACATTTACTATTCAAGCCACTTTGGATGCAAACTTCTAACTTTAATAGAGGATCTATCACAAACCTTATTTAACTTTCACTTAATGACTAGTGGCCACTCCCATGATCTTTAATCACAATCCCCTCTGTAATACTGGGACCTCCCCCACCCTGAAGCCTCTGAGATGGGGAGAGCTGGCTCTCCTTCAGCAGAGTGGCCTTATAAACTGCGGGTTTTGTACTCTGCCTGCTTTGAACTTTCCCCCTTTCTTCTTGTCAGAGAAGGTATTGGTTCTCTTTCCGTTTCCTTCCCAGCTGCTGCTTCTCCATGCTTAATTAGCCCATCCAGGTCAGTTAGAGTTGTGTCTAAAGTCAGTGTAAACAGGCTCTGAGGGAGAGCTTGTATCAGGGGGGTGGTTCTTGTGAGTGTGAAACAGGCGTATCCTGGCAGTCACCACGGCTGCTCAGACACGTTCTGGGCATCCCCCCATCCGGCCCCCCATTCCTGGTCAAACCCTCTGCCAATGAGGATGCTGGACAGCTCTGGGTCCCAGAGAGAAAAGGCATGAAGACAGACACAGATAGACCCTAACATCGATATCCACGCAGACACACATGCACGCACACATATCTTGGTATAGACGAACCAAAATGGCATGTTTAGGATTTGACGTTCACTGTGATAACTTTCAGGGTAGAGTTTTTAACATATATTGCCTTGCAAATAACAGAAGGGCAATACATATTTAATCAGGTGGCCAAGTGTCCCAATTTTATTTAGTGATTCACGACTCCTCCCAGAGGCAGTTCAGTATGTTGGGACAGGTGAGGTGCAGGCCTCAGATCCTCATCTCTAAGACCATCAGGCTGGTCTCTGAGGTCCCGGCCGGCACTGATATTCTGGGATTATTACTAACTTCCATTAACTCCTTAATTGAACGATCACAACAAGAAAACAGGGATGTTTGGTTAGTACTCATACATATGCATACCAGACTAACAAAATGATTAGTCTTAAGTAAAAGCGATTCTGCAAATGTGTCTGCAATCCCTGGGATGAAGAATGAGAGCTCAGGGGCACTTGGCTGGCTCAGTCAGGGGAGTATCCGACTCTTGATCTTGGGGTTGTGAGTTCGAGCCCCACGTTGAGTATAGAGATTACATAAATAACTAAAATTAATTAATTAAAAAAAAAGAATGCAGAGCTCTGGGATCCGTATCAGGAGACTGACACCAAAGGTAACGGTGAAGACCTTAAGATGCATATACAGTGAGCTAGCGCAAACATCTCAGTACTTCCAGTTTTGTGTAGTTTAACTACATACTTTCTAACCATTTTTTTTTTAAAAAGCATTCCTTGATTAAAGCAAACCGAACAAAAGCCATGTAACCCAGAGTTCATTAGACAAGACAGCGTATCTGCGATCCCGCCTGAATCCTAAACCAAACAGCACCCTCACTCCAGGGGCAGAGGGTCCTACGGCTGGGAAGCCCACTCAACCACGTTCTTTCTCATGTGTGCCCTCTGAGAAACAATTCTAACCAAACCGAGGCAAATGGCTTTCAGTCAGTGCATCTCCACCATCACACCACACAACACAGACATGCTGACTGCTTTGGCTTTGGGTAAGAGCATCAGAACGTCCCTGCCCGCCTCTGTCTCATTTCAAAACCTACCAAGTCGTGTCTTCCGCCAGACGGATTCACGATCTTGCCACAGACAGCATGTGGACTGTGTTAGCCAGAAAAGACTAATGGAAAGTTGACTTATTTATTATCAAATCCTGATGCACCAAATGAGCGCTTTCCGATAAGCTCCAGCATCCCCGGAAGTGTGGCAGATGGCACAAAGGCCCACATGAGGCCCTTGCCGCCCGCACGCCATCTTCAGGATGGCAAAACCCGCAAACATCCGCTCCTCCCTCTCTGTTCTCTGTGGATTTGTTTCACAGACAAGCCCTGAAGTCCCTTCAACAGGGACAGAGGCAGCACTGTTACTCTGCGGGGGGGTGGGAGGGGTGGGTAAATAAATTACCCCACCTGCACGGACTCCTGCCTAGAGAAACACGGATGTTCTCTTCTTATGTAGAAGCTCTATCAACACAATGTCATTAATATTAGTTTTTACCTTCAAGAGTCCCAACTGCGTTGTGAGAAGCAGTCCATAGGTAACAACTCCATCCTGAAACCCTTTCTGATGCACACTTTGGTGACTGTACGTGGTGAGGGAGGAAAAAGGCCCACTGGCCTTTCTACCTTTCCTCAAGATAACAGAAATGGATAACTAAATTGTTTACGATTCAGTTTATAAAGTATGACTATTTGATGCTAAGATTAATTATATCTAAAAATCTTTTACAAAAGCCTGTATGTTGGTACTTGATTTAACTGATAAGACTTAACAGTCTCAGTAATTCCTATTTCTCTCTAATGAACTCAGCCGGGGAAATCACAATGCTCCCTCCTCCCCCAGCACTTCCTGTGTCCCCGGTTGGTGCTGGAAGAGCTCTTGTGAGTTAACCCTGAATCATCCAAAGGCTCTTCCCGCTGTGATTCCTTAGCTTTGTGAGACGGGGGATGACAGTCATATGGAATCTTTTTTTAAAAAAGATTTTATTTATTTAGTTGACACAGAGAGAGAGATATCAAGTAGGTAGAACAGCAGGCAGAAAGAGAGAGGGAGAAGCAGGCTCCCTGCTGAGCAGAGAGCCTGATATGGGGCTCGATCTCAGGACCCTGAGATCATGACCTGAGCCGAAGGCAGAGGCTTTAACCCACTGAGCCACCCAGGTGCCCCCTCATATGGAATTTTAATGACAAATAATCAAAGGAACGAAACAGGTGGGCAATATGAGCTTGAACGCTGAAAGGGGTACAGCTTTCATTTTTTAGTGACTTTAAAAAAAAAGTTTCCGATAATAAAAACCTAAGCCACCAAAGTATCAGAAGGCAAGGTCCTGACTCCCTAATACTTCACCTGCAAAAATAAAATGCAATCACTCAGGGCGTTCCTGGCAAATCTTGGCTTGAACACAGTTCTTTCTTTCATAACTATCGTCACCATTGCTCAATGGGTCCTTGGGGAAAGTGGCTTCACCCTAATCCCCAAATCACGACACACCTTTGCTGGCAGTTCATGCAGGGCTCACTTCTATTGAGTCAAATTTATTTTTTTTAAATAGTATAATAAGCATCTATGAAACTAAAACAAAAAACAAGCGCTAGGACCTTGACAACAACCTAGAGCTACCTTACTTCCCACCGAGGCGTGTTTCCCCACCAGGAAACCAAGATCCCCCCCACCCCTTTTATAGGCTTTACTGCATATGTGCTTTATAAAGCAGATGATTTATCCGGTTGTTTTCGACTTTACGAGGAGTGTGTCATGCTCTGCGCCATCTTTCAGGACCTAGTCTTTTCTTCAGGTATTACGTTGCTCGGCGCCATCCAGCACTGTGTGCTGTGGCCGTGCATCTGTTCTCATGGCTAATATTCCACTGTGAGAAGGTGGTGAGGTTATTTACCCAATTTCCTGTTAAAGGGCATTTGGGCTATTTCTAACAGTTAATGCATTTTTTTTTAAATGTTTTATTTATGTGACAGAGAGAGAGCACAAGCAGGGGAAGCAGCAGGCAGAGGGAGAGAGAGAAGCAGACACCCCACTGAGCAGAGAACCGGACGTGGGGCTCGGACTCCATGCCAGGACCCCGGGATCATGACCTGAGCTGAAGGCAGACGCTTAACCGACTGAGCCACCCAGGCGCCCCTAACTGTTAAGGCCTTCTTACCAAGCAGCAGACACTGTGATAGGCACCGGGCACACATTGTTCCATTTAGGAAGAAGACTTTTCTCTTTCCTTTTAATTGGAGAAAACGGAAGCCCAATGACATTAGGTCACTGGCCTGAGATCACAAAGTAAGAATGTGCTCTGCACATTACAGCAAATGAAAGCGTGAAGATCGTCTGCCTTTTATTACCTGTCTCCTTTATTATTAATAAATCCCCTGTCACCACATATGGGATTGCTCTTCCACTTCTGGGGGAAAGAAACTCGTTACCTTGTTTTCTACACTGCAGAATAAATGAGAGTTTCCCTATCTTCTGTGTCAGTAAGAAGGAAAATACCACTCACCCCTCATGGCCTTACAGGAAGATTCTGTAGTGGAATTCCAGTAACCCAAGGTTCTGACTCATAGTTTAACACACACACACACACACACACACACACAAAACAGAGGATTTTCTTCCTAATTTTAATGTAAACACATGAACCAGTTTAATCAACTTCTCTGAAAGCCTCAGTACAGGCCAGTCTGCAAAGCATGCTGCTTTAGTGCGTGTGAATTCCGGAAGTATTTACACCAAAGGAAGGAAGAAATTCTCCTTAATGCAGCCTCTCCTTAGAACTCAGAGATAAGGGAGACATTTAAAAATAGCATATATCGGGGGGTGCCTGGGTGGCTCAGTTGGTTAAGCGTCTGCCTTCAGCTCAGGTCATGATCCCAGGGTCCTGGGATCGAGCCCTACATCAGGCTCCCCGCTCAGTGGGGAGTCTGCTTCTCCCTCTGCCTCTGCCTACTGCTCCTCCTGTTCGTGCTCTCTCTCTCTGACATAAATAAATAAAATCTTTAAAAAAAAAAAAGCATATATCGAATGGCTTAGATGAAAAGATGACTTGTTCTATCGTCAGATTCCTGTTGTCCCTCAAAGACAGATAAAATTAGGGTAGATAGGGGCTCCTGGGTGGTTCAGTGGGTTAAAGCCTCTGCCTACGGCTCAGGTCATGATCTCAGGGTCCTGGGATCGAGCCCCACATGGGGCTCTCTGCTCAGCGGGGAGTCTGCTCCCCCCCCCCCCGCCTGCCTCTCTGCCTACTTGTGATCTCTGTCTGTCAAATAAATAAATAAAATCTTTTTTTTTAAAAATTAGAGTAGATAAAAGTGGACGTGGCCGGGTTGGGGTGGGGGGTAGGTTGTCATTACGGCATAATGGGTCCCTAAGGGTGCAAAAATCGGTTTTATCATCCCACTGTCAGTGTAAATGGTAAGTGGATTTTAAAATGCCGCAGTTTTCTTTGAAAGTAAACAATTAAATCCCTGAGCTCATTCACCACTGGTAGAGTCCTAGCCACCTACAGCACCACCAGAGACACTGAGCCAGGGGAAAGTGACTACTTTGACCTCAGCTATTTTTGTCTCCATTTCCTGGGAAGAACCAGACGTAACACAACTTTTTTCTGCTTATGACCTGGATTTATGGAACTACTATTGCATCGACGTAACAGGTTTATTTTGGGGGCGGGCGTGACCACCAGCTGCACTAATGTAATTGGCACCCTCAGAATTTGTTCTTATTTAGGTGCAACACCACAAAAGAGATTTGTAGCCTCGGGAAAACAGAGCCACTTTGAAGGAAAGGGGAGACAGCTTCAAAGCCACACAAAGGGCGTTTTATTGCCAAGAGAGGTTCAGTTCTAGAACAATCTAGAAAAATACTCATTATTCTCCTTAACTTTTTAATCGTGCAATGCATAACCCATGGAAAACATACAATGTTATTTGTACAGTCTTAAGTAATAACAATGAAAGGAACACCCGTGTAATCACCACTCAGGTTAAGAAACAGAACCCCTGGTTCCATTGTCTTCCATCCAGTGAGAAAGAACCACTCTTTTTAGTTTAATGCCTTTTCATTTCCTTGCCTGTCTTTTTGTTTTATCACAAATTTATATTACCTACTAACTCGTTCTGCCTGTTTGTGAACTTTATGTAAGTGAAACTACACGCAGGCAGGTGCTACTACTTCCTTCAGCACACAATCTTACCTTTGTGGCAGTCCGCCATCTTCATATGTACAGTCATAGGTTTTCCATTTTCACCGATATGTACAACTCCTGTCCTAAGAATACGCCTCAGTTTTTGGTCATACATTATATTTCTAAAGGATGTTCAGGTTTTGTTCAAGGATGTTCAAGAGCCTTAGGAGCTCATGGAAACAATCCTGCTATGGACTGGTCTACTACGCACGTGCGTGAGGATTTTCTAGGCTACACGCCTGAGAGGGGAGTTGCTGGAGGGCAAGGTATGTCCAGGCACGATTTTATTAGAAAATACAAATTGTTTTCCAAAGTAATTGTACCGGTTTATGCTTCCACTGGGGTGAAGGGTTCCTATTGTTCAACATCCTGGTCAACCATCTGCACTGTCAGACTTCTACTAAATTTTTGCCAATCTTGTGGTATAAAATGGTATTTCCCGAGACATGATTAGCTCTTCAAGTTTCCTCTGTAGTGAAATGGTTGTTCTCATCTTCAGCCTCCTTTTCTATGAGCTCTGTTTTGTACTTACTGATTTATAGGGGAAGTTTACATATTCTGAAACCCAACTCTTGTCGCTTATATGCTAATATAATATAACTAAATATATAGATATATTCCACCATTTCCTTTTATGCTCCCACAGTAAATTTTAACTTTAATTAACTTTAATGCAGTCATATTAATGAATCATTTTTCTTAAGTTCTATATCTTTTCTGACTTACTCAAAATGCTCCTACCCCATGGTCATAAAGATATTCTGCTTTATTTTCTTCTAACTGATCTGAAATGTCAGTGCTGTCATTTACTGCGGGTCTGTTTTGGGACTCCCCATGCTGTTCCATTTGACCAAACCACACTGTTTCAATTCAATGAAGCTTTACAATATGTCCTGGTTACCTGGCAGGCAAAACTGAGCTCACTCTGAAGACATGAATAGTTTTAAAAACAACATAAGGAAAAATAGGAACTAGAACTTACTTTGCTCTGGGTTGATGAACTAATCCTGGAATCTCTTTATTAGTTTTAAGTCTTACATTTGAACTGGCACTTTTTTCCTGAAAAACATAAACACACATGTAAAAGACAAGGTGAGAATCAGCATTCCCAAGGACAAAAATCCCTGCAAAGAGGTCACGCTGTATGGTGAAACTGCCCAGCATTTTAACAGGGAACACTGTCAGGAAAAAACGGGTTAGCCTTACAACAGCCATAACTATTTTTAGAAAATTATGTGCAACTAATATTTGATGTTTAGGTGTTTTTAGGAAAAAATAGTAAGAGAACCAAGGAACAGAAGATTCTAGTCCCAAAGAGAGCAGTACTGTAATTATAGACATTGTTTATGTGCTCAGGTTAACAGACTTTAGTGCATTTTTAAAAAAAGATTTTATTTATTTGACAGACAGAGATCACAAGTAGGCAGAGAGGCAGGCAGAGAGAGAGGGAAGCAGGCTCCCCACTGAGCAGAGAGCCCCATGCGGGGCTTGATCCCAGGACCCTGACATCTTAACCTGAGCTTTAACCCACTGAGCCACCCAGGCACCCCCTTTAGTTCATTTTGGTTTTTTTAGTCAACTGTGGTTAGGGAGACATGAAAGTTTGCACGAGGCCCTGGCAGTGACAGAGACAAGAACATTAACATTAATTGATTCCACCCATAACAAACACTGAGACTGAATTCAACTGAATTCATAACATTCAATACTAATTTACACTCAGGAAGCACTTCTTTGGCTTTTAATCTGATCTGATTTCTTATTCCCAGTTTACCAGCTTCACAGGAAAGAAACACTTTCAAATCTTAAAGTGCAAGTATATTGGGACGCTTGGGTGGCTCAGTCAGTTAAGTGTTTGCCTTTGGCTCAGATCATGATCTCGGGGTCCTGGGATCGAGCCCCGCATCGGACTCTCTGCTCAGTGGGGGGTCTGATTCTCCCTCTGCACCCCCCCCCACCCGCTGCTTGGCTCTCTCAAATAAATAAATAAAATCTTTAAAAAAACTGCAAGCATATATATGGGTATACTCTCTCAATAACAGTGCTGCTCTATATTTATAAGATATCTTTAAAAAATATTCAGGATGCTTTGTAATTTTCTAGGAAAACAACCCCTGAAATGAAAGGACAGACTATTCTAAACCTATTTATAACAGGTGACTGTATCCACTCAAGGAACCTGACATGTAGCAATAATTAAAGACCCAGGCGAGGGCAACAAATAAAGGCTCCTGTGGGCCAACCCACTGCTCTTACCACATGCAGAGTGATGGCACCTAAAACAGATGGGCCCCGAAAGACCTTTTTCGAGAGTTCCTATTTCTCTCAGGACAGCAGAAGCCATTTAAATCAGTGAACCTCTGATGATTCACATGCTCTTAGGTGAGCTTATCTGTAGAACGTCAGGACTTCAAAATACAGGGTAATTTTTTGTTTGTGATCTTCCAGGAAAAGAAACAATCCTTACGATTCTATCCTACCTTCTTTGCCTCACGCTAAACTGAAGAGAGTATTTTCATACACTTTTAAAAGGCATAAAATGTATACTGTTCCTTCTGCTGACACAGCTGGGGAACAACAGATGAACTACCTCAGCTTTCACAAAGCAGCTCCGGGAGGGCAAGGCCCAGTCCCTTCTTTACCAGCAGGGCCTCCGTGCCTTGCTGGGGCCTGACACTCATGGGAGTTACCCATTGTATACTGGTGGCACGAATGAACAAGGTCAACAGATGATGAGCTTCTTTTCATGAGAGATAAAAATAGCTTCAACGTAGTCTCCCTAAAGGACTGCGGAGGGAGGTTCCGAGTTAGTCCTTTTTTTTCCCCCGAAACTTCCTGTCTGCTTGGATTAATCACCGAAAATGGATCCAGGACAGAGCCTTGTGCCTTTTCTCTATTCACATAAATTCCCAAACGCTGAGCCTAAATGATACATTGTAATTTTGTTATTGATTGATTGACACTGTAATTGTAAAACATTGCTGAGGTAGGAATGAGGCCTCTAATTTTACGACTGTAAACGACACACAATTGTATCGTTTACAGTCAATGTATTAAACGGTAATCTTCACAATTACATTGCCTCACCGCATCTTCCTTAAAAACACTGTGCGTGGTTGCTAGGAAGAGAAGGAAACCCCAAACAACGGGGCTCAGTAGTTAAGGGAGGTGGTGGTGCTCGGGCCCAGGACAAGCCATCCCTCTACGCATGCGCACAGGCGCGCACTGCCAGGAATTGGGAGGACCGAAGATGTGGTAGTGGCACGGGGAGGGAATGTCAGCTTCAGATTTCCCAGTTAAAAAAAAGAAATAAGGAAGTATATATAATTACAGAGAGATTTCTATTGATTATGTTTGTATGACGTATTTGTTTTTACAAATTACCACTCGCCAAGATCACAATAACAGCTTACTATATAAGTCAGGCCCTATTCTAAGTGATTTCTATATAGGAACTCATTTTAATGTTCACAAATATTTACATACATTAGCTCATTCTTATGTCCACAATGTCTTTCTGAGATAGGTACCATTTTTATTCCCATTGTATGGATGAGAAGGCTGAGGCTTTTACCTGAGACCACACAGGTGGTAAGTGATAGTGGCAGGATTTGGACAGAAGCATAATGGCCCCAGAAGCCATGATATAGCCACGAGGCCAGCAGTTCTCAAACACTATAGGATCAAGACCTCTTTGCCATATTCTCCAAATTTTGACACGTTTCTTTGTACAATATGAAAAAAAAAATCCCATTTGTTAAAATCACCACCAGTCTCACTAGGAAAATCTTGCCAGAAGCTGTCAAGCTCATTGTGGTACAAAATTTTCCAAAATTCTAATTTTGGTTTAATGTTTGAATTTTATGACTAGCAACACATCATGCCATTTTTTTTTCTTTGAAGTGACAGTTTGTCATTTATTCTTGAGACAATGTTTGCCAAATACCCAAGTCTGAATATCCATAATTTGTCTGTCAGGAATTTTTTCCTAAAGTAGAGATGGTGTTCCATAAAAATGACCACTCTTTCAGCCTGCAACTCAGTCAACTGCACAAGTACTTTTCCTTGAAATGACCATCTCACCTGGGTGTGTAGAAGAAATGCCATTTTATCACATAGACTATTAAAAGGCTCTGTACCCAAGGCACAGGACTTAATAAAATTAAATAAAATTGACTGTTTCATCCAGGACATTCTTAAGTGAAAACGGAATGTATGCTTCCACTGTAAGTGCACGGGGGAGGGGGTAAGGGAGAAGGGGTGAAGACAATGACTATGAAGTTTGGTGCCACTGCCCTGATTTGTGCTGGGACACCAGCAGTTTCATCCCCCCGTTGTTTTTGCACCATCAGTGCAAATGTCAACACAGCAAAAAAGGCAAATTGCTTCTTAGTATGGTCACGAAAATGAGCTGGAGGGCATCCTAAGACTGTTTGTTGTAGGGACCCCAGGTTTGCAGCCATAGCTTGACTAGTGTTCCTTGATTTCCTTTGCAGAGAAAAGAACTATTGATTATTTAATTTGCTATATGCTTTATTTAAAAAAAATAAAAAATATATAAATATATAAATAAATAAAAATAAAAAACCACTTTATTGAGGTAAAATTTACATTCCATAAAATTCCATTGTAAGTGTATGATGAAGTGATTTTAGTAAATTTATACAACTGTACAATTATTACCACAATCCAGTTTTTGAACAGTTCTATTATCCTAAAAAGTTTCCTTAATCCATTTACAGGTCTTCTCTCCTCTCTGTAAGCCCCAGGCAACCACAAATCTGCTTTCTGTTTCTATAAATTTGCCTTTTATAGATTCATAGAAAATGGAATCTTAGAACACATAGCCTTTGGGGTCTGGCACTTTTCACTTAGCATAATGTTTCTGAGGTTCATTGATATTGTAGCATCTTTCAGTATTTCACCTATTTTAGTTACTAAATAATATTCTAGTGTATTGGGTATATTGTATTTTGTTCATACATTCATTACTTGATGGACGTTTGGGTTGTTTCAAGTTAGGATATTATAATAATGGTGCTAGGAACACTCAGATATATGTTAAGTCTTTGTGTGAACACATATTGTCATTTCTCTTGGGCAGGTTCCTAGAAGTGAAAATGCTAGATTATATGCTAAGTGTATATTTAACAATTTAAGATATCACCAACCTGTTTTCCAAAGTGGCTGCACCATTCTACATTCTCACTTGGGATGCGGGATGGTTCGAGTTTCTCCACAACCCCGCCAACACTTGATAGTGTCTTTTCAATTATTGCCATTTGAGGGTGCCTCATGTAGGCTTTATTTATTCTTAAAAATATGATTTACGTGGATTTGTTCTTTGTGTCCCTCAGAACACCCAACACCTTGCCACGTGGGAGCATTTACATGCTTACCAGTTAGCTATACTTGCCTCAAGAAGACAGTTTTAGATTTCCTTATAAACATCACTTAACTTCTTGTCTGGGTTTGTTTGTTGGGGAAGGGGAGGTTTACAGAGACCTGCTTAAAAAAAAAAAGGGCAAAGAAACAAGCAAACACACAGAGAAAACAAGAAGGACTGACAAGACGAGGCTAATGGGAGCCTCAGATGGAGAAGACCCAAGAGAGAGCCAAGAGTCATGCCATGTCTGGGGTGCTCCAGAAATAGAACAGAGAATCTGGTTGATGATGGAAGCAGTAACTAAGATATCATTTTCCTTGGCAGAAAAACCGATTTTACTGGTATTTGACACTTATAAACTAGTACCTAAAATAAACTGGAACCAACTGGGACTAAGACAAAGCCATTGGACAATCCCCCAGGAAGCAGTTTGCAGAGCAGTGTTTTTCATGATCCATTCATTTTGGTATCAGAGTCCTCTGGGATGTTTGTTAAAATACAGATTCCCAGGCCCTAACCAAGACTGTGTCTCTGGGATCAAGGCCTTGGAATCTGTATTTCATTTTATTTTAAGTAGGTTCCATACTCAGTGTGGAGCCCAACACAGGGCTTTAACTCATGACCCGAGATCCAGAACTGAGCTGAAATCAAACTAAAGCCAGGTAGTGACAGG